AGAAAAGAAAAGAAAAGAAAAGAAAAGAAAAGAAAAGAAAAGAAAAGAAAAGAGAAAAGAAAAGAAAAGGCTGCAGGTGACTGTAGAAGAACTGAGGAGGCGCAGAGTCAGTCAGGAGGGACAATGCGCTCCTTCACAGGGGAGTTGTCGAGAGTCTCCAGCACCCTCGGCCCGGTCGTCCTGGCCCGGACCCTCCTGGCTCACTCCAGAGGGGAAGGTGTTGCAGAGATTTGCCACACGCTGCTAGCCAGCACTGGTGGCATCCCTACCTGTTGCTGTAGAAAAAACTGCGTGCCCCGTAGCTCCTACGACACTGTTTAGGAAGCCTTCCTTCCCACTAATCTAATAGGAGCTCTCCATACCCTCCTGCTGCGCTTAGCTCTGCTTTGTCATCTTCAGGACCCTGCACTCTGACTGCTGATCTCGGAGAGTTCTCTGTGAGCTTGTTTACAGTGAGTCTCCTTCATGAAGCTCGGTGACCAACACACACACGCACATGGGCACATGGGCACATGCGCGAAATACATCCGTCTCCTTCTCCAGCTCATCCTTCAACCTTAGAGGAATCCTGGGCACCCAACCAATGCTTGCTCCTGGCTCGTGTGCGGCCACGTGGGTCCCAGCTCTCCTGAGCCCACCAGGACCTGGGCCTCCCTGCAGAGCATGGTACAAGAGAGAAGAAATGATTACAGGCCACATCCAGGCCTCTCTATGTAAGCTGTTGCCCTCTTGATTTTTTTTCTTTTTGGAGGTTAGGGGAGTTTTACTGGAAATGATAGAAGAATAACTCTTGGATTTCTGGGAGGGATCCTGAGTGGGTGGCCCCCTCTTGAATTTCTTAATGTTTTTTTCTCAGTCGTCACTTATAAGTTAACCAAATTTTTATTTTATTTTACTTTAATTTTGTCTTTTTGAGACAGGGTCTCACTATGCAGTTCAGGCTGGCCTTCAGCTCAATCTATAGCCCAGGCTGGCTTGGAACTCACAACGATCCTCCTGCCTCAGCCTCCCGAGTGCTGGGATTACAGGCAAGCGCCACCATACCCGGCAAGTTAACTAAATTTTGAGAGCTTCCCTCAATGTTTATCTTTAATTATTTATTTTTATTGGTACATGTCGCAGTACATAATTATTATTTCCCATCTGGGGAGTTGGTACATGTATGTAACACGCCTCGCTTCCCTTCCCTCCATCTCTTGGTTCCTATTTCTTAATATTTTTGGAACAAGTGACTGTGTTTTGTTTTGTTTTGTTTTCCTAAGTCCCGCAAGTACTGCTACCAGTCTTGCTCCGGGAGCTCATGGCATAGACGGGGAAAGGGCAAACACAGAGCTCCTGTGCCTAGGAGAAGCAGAAGGCTGCGCATCCATTCTCCTGCCGTTCCCTTGTGCCAGGCTGCTGCAGAGAGGGATAAGGGTGTGCATTGCGGCCGGGCTTGTATTCCAAATGTCTTTTATGCACACACACGCACACACACTCATACACACACGCATATACTCACACACACGCACACACGCACCTATAGCACACTGTCATTAGAGCTCTAGGAGACAGAGCCTTGTCTGATTTGCCTGCATTCCCCAGGGTACAGGTTAGTGTCCAAGGACTAGTGGGCTCTGATTACACTGCTGAATAAGAGACTGAAGCCCAGGCAGCAGAAACAGGCTAGTGCTTACAGCTCCCTCATCAGAGCATCCCAGGCACCTTCCTCCTGTGGGTTGAGATTAATCACACTTTGCAGTCTTCCTTATAAATCTCATCTGCAGTGTCGCCGCACATTTGTGGAAACTGGTGAATGTGATTCCTGTTTCATAGTTCTCCGAGTATTGGCTGCACACTCCTCTGTACTGGACTTTGTGTTTGGGGATGGAAGAATGTACAGCCCAGACTTAGGCAGTCTTGGCTCTTGGGTGTGTTTTTTAAGGGATGAGAGGGAACTTGTCTTGAAAACTACTAATACAAGGGACAACAAGTCAGGAGGGCCACAGAGCTCCCCTGGAAGGCCCCTCCCCTGGACCTGGGCCCCTGGTGGCAAGAGGAGGGCCTTGCAGGAGGCAGAAGCTCAGAGATGGGTACTCTCAGGATACAGCAACCAGACATGGAAGGGCAAAGAGGTAACTGTCCAACGAAAACTCTTGGAGGTGGAGCTGGAATGTGAGGCTACATGCTGTGCTGTGGTCAACGGGGATGTTTCAGGAAAGTGTTGGCCAGGGACACTGCATATTGTAACTGTGATTCAAGATCCTCATGGTGGGTCAGGAAAGGCTGGAAGAACCCCAGGAGAGAGCCTTTCAGGACGTGGAACTGATGGACTGGTGGCGCATTCCATGGCGTGTGGGAGGAGGCAAAGGAGAGAGGGTCGCTCATAGAGTCTTCACATGTGACCAGGGCAGGGCGGCAGAACGGAAGTAAGAAAGGCAGGAGGTGGAGGGAGAGCTTCTAGTAACTGCCAGGAGAACAGTTCCCTGTATCTTGCACTTTCCAATGTACTGTTCCATAGAAGTGAACATTCACGTTCATTGCCTAGTTCTGTGTACGTGTATATGTGTGTATACGCATGGGGCATGCACTTCCCACTCACTGGCTATTTGTACTTCAGATGTGTTATTCTTCAACTTGATATTCAAGCTGGAAGGAGACAAAAAACTCAATGTAGCAGCTGTATTTTCATATCTAAGCTGAACCACCCATTGATTGGAAGAGCAGTGAACAATCCCTTCCTCTTTGTAAATTATCAAATTTATTACATCAAACCACCACACACTATGTACCATGCTATGTATATTGTTTAGGGATACAATCAGAGCTGCTGGTCACAAAGCCTGTGCATTGCTGCCCTAGCTTGGCCCCAGTGTAGCACACACAAACAAGCTTTTCCTTTTAGGCCAAGGGAAAAATATCAGCCCAGACAAGTTGTGCAAGACTCTTAGCATGTGAAGTACTAAGACTCAAACAAGACTGAGGCACTGAAAGCACTGAAAGTGCCACACCAGAGAAAGAACTGTCTAAAGAGCTAAGCCACAAGCTGAGGTGTGTGATGAGGGAAAACAGGGGCCAGCCAGGCTGCAGGCAGAGAAAGTGGCATTGCAAGCAGAGGCAGTGGAGGCTAGTGCTCAGAGCCTTGTGCCTCTGGGCAGAGTCTGAAAGTCCAGATCGCATACTAGCTGTGAGGTAGATGACCACCAATAAGTTACTTAAAGCCCCCTGAGCCCCATGTCATCCATGTTAAAACAGATTGTAATGCTTCAGCCTCACGTGGCATTCAACGGCACAGGCCATTAAAAGCATTTTTTTTTTGTTTCTTTGTTTTGGTGTCCGGCACATGGTAAGTACTCAGAACGTTACCTTTCGTTCTTATGATGAATCTTATTAACTAGTAACAGATAAATGGCAACACAGCCACCCTGGGAGTATCTGACCACAGAGCAAGGCCTCAGCCCAGATATCAACTGTAGAGCAAATGCACATGTCCCAAGAAGGTAGAAATCATGTGGACAAAACAGGACTCTAGATCTCAGAGAACCTGGCCAGTCTGCAAGAGAAAAGAGAGGCATGGCTGAGATGTAGATTGAAGGTCACTAGCTCAAGGGTGATACTCAAACCCAGGGTGAGGTAGGACAGATGAAATAAAGATGGGTAAAAATGAGACAAGAGAAAGAGCAAATCTGAAATTGTACCTTTAATAACCACTGCAGCTTCAGGACACAAACCTAGTTAAAAACTTCCTAAGATCTTTTCTTTCTTTCTTTCTTTCTTTCTTTCTTTCTTTCTTTCTTTCTTTCTTTCTTTCTTTCTTTCTCTCTCTCTCTCTCTCTCTCTCTCTCTCTCTCTCTCTCTCTCTCTTTCTTTCTCTATGTCTTTTTGAGACAGGATCTCACTACACAGTTCAAGTTGGTCTTGAGCTCACTTTGTAGCCCAGGCTGGCCTCGAACTCACAAGGATTCTCCTGCCTCAGCCTCCCAAGTGCTGGGATTACAGGAGTGTGCCACCAAGCCTGGCCCTAAGATCTTTAAAGACATGGTCAGCTTTGGCCATTCTCTTTTGCTCATAAATGCATCTCTTTTTTACCTGTGAATAGA